AGCATTAAGAATTCCAGTTTTGCTTAATAATCGATCCATCAATCTGAACTTAACAGCGAGAAGAAATCCCACAGGTAATTTTGAGTCTTACATTGTTCTGCACATCGAGGCAACAGCACCAATATAGGCAGACAGAACAGGAGCAGGCTGAAAATCACCAAAAGCACGCCTGTTTTACACCAGTAGCAACAAGTATCTGTACTGAAAAGGAGCAATAAGGTTAAAGGTGTTCCTTCTACTACAAGCAAATAGTCATGTTGATAAGGGTCATGTTTTATATCAAAGATTTTAATGTTACAGACTTTTTTCAAGACAGTTGGAATTTGAAAGCTCTTTTACCCATATACTCAAAATTAACACAAACCTTTTAAAAGTTGAAAGTTTTTCTTCAATATCCTACTTTACAATTTAAAAAGCCACATTACCTTAACCACATCCCAGTAGCCACATCTACATACACGTGGTATAGGAGTGACTGGACGGTGAGGAGAAGGATGTCAAAAACTCCAGTTTACAGAAGAAATTCTGCTGTACTCTATTCATACCTCATTTCTATTAGTAGCAGTACCCATGCACCTTAACCAGAAGCTGGGCGATCGCCAACCGCATGAAGTTCAATAAGAGCAAGTCCGGGTCCTGCACCTGGGACGGGGAAACCCTGGCTGCACGTACAGACTGGCGATGAGACGCTTGAGAGCAGCCTAGAGAGAGGGATCTGGGGGTCGTGGTAGACAACAAGTTGAATATGAGCCGGCAGTGTGCCCTGGCAGCCAGGAGGGCCAACCGTGTCCTGGGGTGCATCAAGCACGGCATCGCTAGTAGGTCGAGGGAGGTGATTGTCCCGCTCTACTCTGCGCTGGTGCGGCCTCACCTCGAGTACTGTGTGCAGTTCTGGGCACCACAGTATAAAAGGACATGAAACTGTTGGAGAGTGTCCAGAGGAGGGCTACGAAGATGGTGAAAGGCCTGGAGGGGAAGACGTACGAGGAACGGCTGAGGGCACTGGGCCTGTTCAGCCTGGAGAAGAGGAGGCTGAGGGGAGACCTCATCGCAGTCTACAACTTCCTCGTAAGGGGGTGTCGAGAGGTTTGCTATTAGCTACATAAAGGGAACAACTAAGACCACTGCACACCTTTAAAAAAAAGCCAGAACAGAGTGAATATTGCTAAACAAAACAATTGCCTAGCACTCACTAAAGGCCACGTTAAATTTGCATATTAAATATTGGGCTACTGCATCAACTTCTACACTGCCAACCCCTGCTTGCTTCCCCAGAAAAAAATAAAATAATATTAATAATTTCTTACTACTCTAGTGAAATCAGTGTCCAAATGACTCTGTACTAATATTTACATATCTATCCCACTTAACTCACTGCTCATATTTATGTTGACACTGAAGCCCCCCCCAAAAATGCCAAAATAAATCATTATTTTTAAAAACTGCCATTCTCTGCTTGCCCATTTTAAAGTGGCTGTGAAAGCACAGCTTCATTACAACGTAAAGAGGTATTACAGGGATCTGCTAAAATACCAGGATTTCACTTTTACAGAAACCTGTAGAACACCTAAGGAAGAAGATAACAGGCTGTAGCCTCTGAACTGCTTCCTTTCAGCTTATATATTTATATATATTATATATATAAGTACATATAAAGCTACAGTTATCTATGCAAAGTGCAATTTCAAGCAACTACTGAATTCTGTTTAAACGTTGGGGAAAATAAGGTATATTTGAGTTTCAGGATCCAGAATAGTAATTGGTAAGACTCTCAAATCTAGACTTATCCAAGCTGGCATTCTGCAACTTCTGGCAGTGCAATTTTGAACTTCCATTCCCATAGCAGTAGAAGCATGAGAAAATCTGCAGAAATACAGCTTCAAAAGTTCCTAAATATTTAGGAACAGGAATGGCAACCATTTAGCCAGCACAGATTCTGTTTAAAAAAAATAAAACAAAATGAAATCCTGTTACTCCTACAAAACAAGGCCATAAAACTTCACTTGAGTGTACAGATTAAGAATAAACTTCTGAGATTTAAGCCATCTCATTTGGCTGACAGAAGTCACTCCCAACATTTTGCAAAAAACAAGTCATCTAGTGGTGTCAAGCATCCTTCCAAACTCCAGCCCAAGCATTAACCAACTCATCAGTAAGTTGTATTTCACATAAATACACAGCATGAAACCTTTGAAAGTTTGGGATTTGCTAAACCTGAGGACTCCTTACCAACAGCTGCAGATGGCAAGATTTCTGTCCCCCTTCCCAACTGATCTGCAGCACAAAGATGAATTTAGAGTAAGAACATAAGCTTTAAGCCTTCACATTAATTATCCCATTTCACCCTGGTAATCAAGTCTATCTGATTTCTCATGGCAGCAGAAGATAAATTGCCTCCTTTCACCTTAAAATTAATATTCAGTAAACTAGAGGGACAGTTGTATGTTTTAAGAGCTTATTATACTACTTAGTATTTCAAGTTAAAAGGATATCTTTGAAATGATAACTAAGTATTGTTTGAAAATATTTTGGCACTGACACAGAATCTGCAAAGAATAGCCCAAGTTTTAACTTAATTATCCTTTTACAAGAATTGTGGTTTGAGAAAATACAACAACTTCATAAACATAATAATCGCGAAGCGTAATAGCCTTTGGCAATACTGCTCCAAAGCAAGTTTGGGTATTCCAAGATAAACCATGACTCCTATTCTTTCTCTCTGTACTTTTGCAGTTAATATAGAAAATTCAAAAGCAAATGAGAACGTGTGTGTCAGGCTGCACAAGCAAACAAAACGCTTCTGTCAAAGCAACACATTACATCCAGCAATAACTGAATTAGTCAACAGCAATACGTTACAGAAACTGCAAGCCAACAACAGACTCCGCAAAAGCTGCATTATTTCCTAAGAGAACTAGAAAGGAACTAAAGAAATGTTAGAGCCACAGAAGCAGTGTGAAATAATCATGTTAAGTGCAATGCACTTGAATCCAGGTATTCTATCCATTTACACTAGACGACTCTCCCCAAACCAGATCACAGTAGGTACTTATCCCCACATAATACTGTGGAAATATTGAAAGTAGTTTAGAGCTAAGAAACACCATCATTAGCTACTGCTAAGACAGTAAAACACTACAATTCAAACTTCATACGTAATAGATGGTATTACACAGGCTAACCTAAGTCAATCAGCCCCCAAATATAGAATATTCCAACATTCAAGTTTCTTCCTGCTGATTCCCAGTCCCTTATCAGGTCGCATTCGATCCCCTGGGCTCTTCCAATACCTCATCTTGCCCAGCTCCTATACATTATTGTTCAATACACAATATTGAGTTCAACCCCACCAACCTTTACACTGCTCACGTCTGTTGAACACCCCAGGTTTCCACAGGTCTGGTTCTGCATCTGAATCAGATGAATTTTCTGTGATCTGATCACTCATAATTGGCTTATTCTAAAGTTAATATGTGCTTTTATACTGGTGTATGACTTCACAAAAAATATTTAATCCTTAGTGTTTCAAACATCGTGAACCTGACATCTCCAGGCCCCTTCAAATAACCAGCTCATTTACCTTGACTAGCTGAAAGTGCCAATCTATTTCTGTACGTTACCCCACAAACTACAGTAAGAGAAAATGATCTTTTTCAATTTAGAAATAAATACTTCTTAACAAGTACCCGGAAAATAGCTAGAGAAGCAAGAACATTATGCAGAGTGTGTATACTGATGTTTCTTTGCATGGCAAGAGGACTTGTAATTTAGGTCACTGAAGTTACCATATATATATGTATGTATGCAACGTATGTATGCATAACATCACAAGTGAGAAGGCAGCAAAACGTAGTGCAGAAGGGAAAACAAACAGTTGGAAAACTTTTAAATAATATAGCACGGAACCACAGCCAGAGCACATTCATCCCCCGCTTCTGCTGTGCCAGCAGCTGGAAGCCTGTGGTGTGCTGCAAGCAGGGCTCGTGTCAAACTCTGAAACCTGCCCAGTGCTGCACGCTGATGCAAATCTGCTACTACAGCAGAAACAGCGACTAATTCCTCATCGACAGGAGGGTCACCAAGATTTTAGCTTATTTACAAGACTGGAAGGAAGAAGCAGAACCTGAGAATTTCAGTTCACAAGAAATGAGGAGGGAAAGATTAATTCTAGTGTGCAGCTGCTCTAAAGCAACCAAGTCCCTTCTGTAGCATGGAGCAAAGTTACATTTTGTGTTTTAAAGCCCCTGTTAATTCAAACAGTTTGCCTCACTGTAGGTAGTAAAAAACTTAAGTTTATAAATAGCTGCTAAACGTAACTCTCAACCCAAAACTTGCAAATGGAGGAAGCTTGTCCTTCAGTACCTAACTCCTCACGGCACGCCAGGTTATGTTTTCTGATGTACCTCTTTCTGTGACCAAGTTTCCCTTATTTCAAATTGCACTCCCAGATATAAGGGCAGAAGCTGATCGAGCACCTTTGTTATCACCCAAAATATATATGAATTCCTGTAGGCCATAACCAGTTTCTAGACACATCTTTCAGGACAGATGGATCATTTGGAACTGTGCAGAAGGAACACTCATTATGTTATCTGCAATCAGGAAGATGTAGGTGAAATACAAAATGTTCACTTCAGAAGCTTAGCATTTTAAGGAACAGGAGGTAGAAGTAAACTAGCAACCTTTACAAATTGTGTTTTAATTTAATTCACAATCTGCCTGTGTACCCTCTGCTCCATCACACTAACTCTGATTTTCCTTTTAAATGATTCCTCCTCTTCTCTGAAGTTTCCTCCCTTGACTTCATCGAGTTCCCTGGTTTCTTCTTCGCTTCCCCTCAGGCTAAGCTCCAGAGCATCCCTGCCCGTGCCTCACCACCGTACTGCGGCAGCAGCAAGAGGAACGATGCTTCCAAAGGGCAGTCCCAGGCCTCTCACAGGGTACCCGTCTGCCCTCCCAAAGAAACCCACCCTTCCCTTTCAAATCGCCCGTTCCAATACCTCTTCACACCCAGCACCACCAAAGTACATTCAACTTCTTTGTCCATAATGTTATCTGCTTTTCCTGCCTCCAGGGTTCTGTTCAGGAGTGTGACGGGCCACTGTCCACTTGACTAACAGTCTGTAACGATGGAAAGAACTGCAAGAAAGCACATTAATAATTTAACAACTCAAAATACCCAGTAAGCTTGACTAGCACGTTATTTCAGTATGAATTTGCACCAATCCACTGTGCTAATTCTTGTTGTTTAGGCTCTCAGAGGTAGGCTGTAATTCATATGGCACTTGCCCTGCCCTACAGACAAGCCCCGGGTGTGCTTTAGGTACGGCACTGGATCTCCGACCAGAAGCAACTCAGCTATACGCCTGTCCCCACACGAGCTGTTACTGACCAGCCCTTAGCACATCCCAGAACCTCTTCTATAACAATTAATTACTTCGCCAGGATCTTGATCAAATGCAATGAAGTCACCCTGAAGAGTATCTCTGGGACATCTGGACTTTCCTACTGGCCACCGGATAGCCCAGGGAACGAGCAGCAATCACAGGATCCTCAGCACTCATTTCAGAGTTTCTCTGAGAACCACCAGAGATGACACTTTTGACAAGTTTTCCCTGTGCAATGTCACGTCACTACTACAGATTTATACCATTAATAGCGACATATCACCTTGGATGAAACACATCTTTTGGACCAACAGTAGCTTAGTTGGTTAAAGATCCCAAGAAGCACTAAGATATATGTATAAATAACACAGAATCTGCACAAAATGTCCAGAGCACCACAAAACGCCAAAGTATAATTCATAACATAAGGTGCAGGCTGACCGACACATCATCACACACTGTTATAGGGAAGCATTTACACTTTTCCTGGAACCAAAATGAAGTTCTGGGAAGCAGCTGATGTATAAATTCCCTAACCTCAGGAGGTGCCAGCCCTACCTTACTCAGGGGACAAACAGCGAACCACTGACGCTCAAACCAGCTGCTAATTGCTGCAGTTCACAGCAAGATTTTTGCCTTTTAAAGCAAGGGAATAAAGATCTGTAAGGCATACTGTAAAATGATTTACAAACAGCTTGATCATCTGTGTACATGATGGCTGTGCAAAGCAAACAGAAGAAAAAAAGCGCACCGGCTGCTTCGAGCTATGCTGTCACTACTTCTGAGTTAAAATAAAAGAGAAGTGCTGACATCCAGTTTAACTATTAACACTTCACCCAACTGTGGAGCAGCTGGACAAAATCCTGCCATTCAAACTTAAAAACACACTTAGAGGGGAGTGTGAATGATCTACTTACCCGCTTTCTATCTGCACCAGCACAAAAGTTTAAATGTCTATAAAAAAAATTGAATTTCTATAAAAATAACTTTAAAAGCATAACTCGTAAGTCCCAAATTGCACACCCTAAAGATTCATCTGCTTATGGAGCTTGCTTCTCCTCATCTCAGCTTGAAAAGAAAATGTGCTGGGATTTTAGCACAGAGCAAAGCCATCTCGGCTTCCAAGATTTTGACCAAATCTCTATTCCACATTTTTAGTCTCACCAGTAGCATAAAGCGATATATTCACAAATGCAGATTTGAAACCCAAAGAAAATTTAAATACAGTCTGTTTTGAGGGTTAGCCTGTGAGGAACTTGGCAAGAGCTTAGCTTTTACATACCAAATTCAACATCAAACATTTGGGTGACAGTTTTAGTTATGTTCCATTTACAAACACAGGCTCCTGCTGAAGAAGACACCCCCTTATTCTTTCTCATCTTATTTTTAAGTGCTTCTTTGTATAATATCCCTGAAGTTACAAATAATTCATGAAATCACCCACCTCAAAAGAGCCCATTCATAATGATAGGTAACCAACGATCTGACCTCACGAAAATTCTGTTTGGTATTAGAATTTATCCACACAGAGTATGGATATATTTATTATTATTATTATAAAGCATGTATATAATTATATATATAAAGTAAATTTTCAAATCACTAACAGCTGACTCACAATGTTTACTATTTGAGGTAATATACAAAAATACTTCTACCGTTCATCACGAACCATTTGACTTTATTATTCCATCTTCTCAAGCAATCTTTTTTTATTTTGCTTTCTGTTCTGAAGTGAAGAATAGAAACACGTTTCTGAAGCTACGCTTCCCGGGTACGGCACACTTGAGAGATAACGTTTCACATGCAACAAATCTAAAATCTAACTACTTAAAAACCTCATTAGTACGGTATTTCACTTACTCCTCCTTAGCTGACAGGGAAGTTTCATATAATTCATTACACAAAAGTTTACATTCTTTTCAGCTCCTGGGCTGTGTCCAATTTTTGACAATCTGAAAGCAGCATTTCTGCACACTAATGATGGAGGAGAACCTAGAGCTGAATACCCCCGAATGACAGAAGAGAGCTGAAGATTTTCCTTCCATGAAAGAATGAACAGTGGCTGTCTCTTCCCCATCCCCCCTAATAATTTTAGCTAATTATCAACAACAAAAGCCATGTTAACTTGCATAACTCCACTAGAAGAGAAAAACCAACACATCTAGGTCACAAACTTTTATGTAGGGCGTTGGAAAGCAACATGAAAAAATGCACTCTGCCTCTTTCAGCCATCTGACAGCAGGATTAGAAAATATGTCTTACTTCAAATATGCTTATTTGCTTGGAATATTTTGAGAACTCTATGTTTCCTCCTCCTCTGACATCTTTCTACTCCAGACTATGAAGAAGTCACCTGTAATCTGGCTCGCCTTCATTCCCGAGGGAGGGTTTATGAGCAGTGAGTTTCAGAATGACTGGCATATGCTTAAGTTGCACCTTACTTTTCCTACATCCCTTGTTAAGTTTTGTCACCTGGAGTTCAGCGAGAAGTCAAAACATCCAGCAAAGTCTTACATGAACCAGAGTCTAAATAAATAAAGAGTAACTCAAAAATGTGCTCCTCTTTGCACATCACTAGGTGAGAGTACTGGAAGCTCTCAGAGGTGACACGTGAACATGCAACTTGATTTATCAACTGCTTGTCAATTAGCTTTTTACATGCTTGTATTTGTGAGCCCTAAAACTTACAAATATTTAAACTGGGACTCAAACAATGAAAACCTGCCTTAGGCTGAGCCCCAGGGCAAGACGAGATATTTATGTCCTTGGAGGGGGAGGCACAACAGGGGACAGGCTGCGGCATAACTGCTATCCATTTATTTTAACGTCACCAATGAAGAGCTCGCAGAAAATGCTAAATGGATACGGTATTGGCACAAATCAAATTCTCAGAAAGGTTTGGTTCCTTTTTAAGTTCCACGCAACTAACAGTATTAAGCTACTTTTTACTTTGATATAAAATTATTTTAAAACCACACCATTTAAAGTTGGTGAATTACATCCATTTAACAAACAGAACCACAGATCACAGGTGACTTCACAAATACAAACCCTTCAAGAGAAGCATATCTAACTTTAGCAGACACGTGAAGCTGTGCTGTACGGGACCAATTTAGAGGGACTCTGCAGAACGAGGAACTCAAAGCAGGAAGAAATAAATATTTAGTAAGCAAACATACTGACATTTATGGACAAAAGTCACAGTAAAAGAAAACACATTTCTGAAGGTCAAATGATCCACATTCACCGTAGGTGCAGAAAATCCTAGACAAATTACTTAAACTTTAGATTTTGAAAGGCAGCTTGTTGCCCGTTACTAGCAGAAATATTTCAAGATCCTAAGTGGCTGTAAGTATCTGAAAATAAGTCATCATATATACTTAAACCTGAAGAGTCTTACAGAAACTAGAAGCTTATCTGAGTTTCTGGCATATGCTGTGCCTCTAAGAGAAAACAAACATCGCTCCAGAACCGAAGACCTAGAAGACAACCTGAAAATGCTTTCCTCACCTCTGTTTTCAAAACAAGCTCTGGAACTTGGTGAAGGGAGAGTGTAAGCACTGGGTAAGAAAGGTTTACCTATCTAGCTGTCTACCTGAAAAAGGACAAGGAGAAAAATAATAATAATAATAATAATAATAATAATAATAATAATAATAATAATAATAATAATAATAATAATTTGATTGAAGCCAATGTAATATATTACCTTTTACCCTTCCTGGCAATTTTTAAGAATGAGGCATTCTCTGGAGTTGCAGGACTGCCTGACTAGCATGTATGACTAAAGATGTCTCCACAGGCCTAAAAATGTTATTATAATCACACTAGGTAAATAGCATAAATTTCAAGTTTGGAGAGCAATTTATTAGACAGTGTTGTATAGAATATTAACTTGTTCACTACTTTTTGAGATCTAAAATGTCTTAGCCAAATGCCTTTTAGTAACCCAGATAAATGTAATGGCATCCTTCCCAGCCAAACTGCAGCTAGAGCACGCTCCCTCTGAAACTGAGCGCTGCAGGCTCCAACACACACAGCAAATGAAGAGGCTATCAGGAAGGGGGTAGTATTGGTAATAGGAAGATGGTTGGACTAGGTGATCTTGTAGGTCCTTTCCAACCCTGTGTTCCTATGGTTCTAAAATTAACACTAAAATTAAAACTATTTGAGTCCTTTCACACTCACTGCTGTACAAACTGATGAGCAATACGTGCCCTGCGCTCTCAATCTCAAGGCATTGAAGTCTACTTAGTAGGGTTCAGGAGAATGAAACACAAAGCAGCTGCTGTGACTCAGAAGATTAATTCCACTATCCTCAAACATTCCTAAAACAGGTACAGCAAGCTAAATATTACAACTATTGTAATCATTACAATTGAAAACAAAAAGTTTAAACATTCAATAAATGAATCACAAGTCACTGATGAATCACAAGTCACAACCTTGTGACCCAGCATTTCACGAAATATACTTAAGAGTCAATTGGTTTCCCTTAGTCAAAAGATAAATAAATAAATTATTGCCTCTGTTAATATTAGCTTTAGTTCTGCAATAAGACGTAGCATTTAATACCATTTTTATTGCTAGTTTAATCCAATTTGTCTGTCATTTACAGACTACTCGTCAGATTTGTCTCACCCAATAAACTTAACAAGCACAGCAAAACGTCTTTACTAAGTGCAATCACGCAGAGTAATAAAAGTTCACAACACCTGACGTTGTACTCACACTACAAAGCTTAAAGCG